GATGGCTTTTATAATAATAAAAAATTTGGAAAAACTTAAGTACTCAATCTTAGGGAGTGGTTTAAATCAACTGTAATGTCTTTATTTGAAGGAATTTAATATAGTTATTGATATATCTATATAGGACTTGCCATGATCTGGGACAAATGTTTGTTTTATAAAAATTTTTAAAGGGAAAATGTATGCTACAAAATTAAATTTGTAGCACAGTATAACTGTTTAAAATTCTATAAACAGAAACTAGACTAGAGGGGTGCCTGGGTGGCTCAGTTGGTTAAACTGCTGCCTTCAGCTCAGGTCATTGATCCCAGGGTCCTGGGATCGAGCCCCACATCGGTCTCCCTGCTCATGCAGGAAGCCTGCTTCTCCCTCTGTCTGCTGCTCCCCCTGCTTGTGCTCTCTCCCTCTCTCTCTCTCTTGCTATCTCTCTCTGTGTGTCAAATAAATAAATAAAAATCTTTAAAAGAAAAGATATCCACGATTATAAAAAAAAAAGAAACTAGACTAGAAGATGTACACTGGAAGATTACATTTAGATCATGGGTGAAGTTTTCCCCCCTAATTTTCTATCTTAACAAAGTTTAGGTAGTGAGCATCTATTCTTACCCATAAAAATCAACATTTAATAACATTATTTTTAATATGTAAGATAAATAATTGACAGTAAGATTCCATGTATCATAGAAAAAAACAACACGCTTTCCAAACATTTAACTTTGGAGGCCAGCAAAGAAAATAAAAATTGGAGGAAATTTCAAGAAGTGAATAAAATCTAAAATATTCATTACGTCCATTTCACTATGATTTTAATCCGAACTATATCATATGAAGTACTTTAACTAATTTTCAAAAATGTATAATAGATTTTTAGGTCCATGAGGGCAAAGGTCATGTTTTCTCAGCTTTCTGTCATCAGCACCGTGGGTAGTGCTTAGAGTATAGAAGCTGTTAATAAATGATTTGGTGCATAAATAATATTATTGAAATGACAAATAAAGAAACAGACAGTTCGGAGGATATTTGCCTGCCGAGTGACTATGCCTCCTTTTTCTGTCAATAGCCTACAGTTGTTTTGGGCAATGACCTCTCTGCCACTTTTTGCCCATGTGATCTGGCCTGCCCCTTGACTTTAAACTTATGGACAAAATTTGGCCAGTGGAGTTGTGTTTTGCCCAAACTATTGGAAGCAAGATACGTTCTTTCAACTAAGGATTACCAAACTGGTAGAATATAATCTTAGTGCTTCTGCTGCCCATCTTTGCCTCAACACTGAGGAAACTGAATGACAATGAAACCAACACAAAGGAAGATCTGGAGAGAACCAACAGCTTGTTAAGATCATTTGATCACTTGGCCCGGGCTATGCCTGAATCCAAGATATCCCTGGACTTTCCAATTACATGACCTAACAAATCCCTTTATCCCCAACTATTTTGTTTTGTTCTGTTTTGTTTCTCTTAAACCAGTTTGAATGAGGTGTGAGTGCCGAATAGAGTTCTAAATCACACAGAGACATTATGCTGATCTTCCTTTTCATAGGTTGGCCAACAGTTTTGATAATGCGAAGCAGTCGTTTTTAAGGTAAAATTAATCCATACTCTATGCAAGCAACCTCAAGAAAACATTGCTAATAATTATCAGTACTTATGAATTACTTTTAATTTTCAATAACCTTTTACCCAGATAAAAGATTATGAGTCCAGTGGAATTGAAGGGGCTTTCCACTGTGGTACATTGAACTCATGGGACCCAATGTGTCTTTTATAGCTAAGACTTTTTTTTCTTTGTTCATACACTTCTACCTTCCCACATTAAGATCACACACCCTCATTTACCCCTATAGTTTCTGTTATCTTTGGTCATGTATATTTAACACAAAGTGCCTTGTTATGGATTCATCAATGTATACAGACTCCTAAAATAAATTGGGTCACCTGACAGAATAACTCTATCAGTGTGTGGCTATTTTGAGGTCTTGAATTTATTCATCAATAACACTTTCAACAAGTCGGTTGTGCATAAACATTTCTTATGAAATTTGTTACTGTATTTCCAAAAGACACATTCTTGGAAATTCACAAGAAGGCATTATTTTCTCAACATGTCTTAAACTAAAAACTAAAGAACTATAAAGGCCATGTGGGTCTTTAGATTTAAATCTTTCTCTGTATGACCATAAATCTGTGGTGAAAAACAGGTTATGTAATACTGACATATTTAAATATTTTTTTCCTTCTACAGGACTCTGCATTTAGAATGTAATCCTTGTCTCTTAATTTCTCTCTGAATTGCTAAGATATTTAACATTTGCTATAGTGTCTTCTTTTACCCTATATTTTGAACTAGAAAGAAAACTACATTTGTACTTTCCTCCAGAAACTTGTACCTTTTTAAAATTTTAATAAGATGCCTGTCTTCCTTTTTTTTTTTTGGTATATGGGGCTTATCTTCTACCAGAGGTAAGAGTCCTGATATGGACCCTTAAATATGTGTTCAATGAATACATCTGTTTGTGTATCTTTAGATAGCTTTTACATAAGAGACCTTGGATTTACAATAACTTTGTGTTTGTTTTACTTAAGTGCAGTCTCTTTAACTTTTTATTGCACACTTAGGCAATTATATGGTATAAAACATTAGCACTTGCTATGAGCCAGACACTGTTCAAAGTGTTTTCTATGTATTATCACATTTATCCTCATAATAATCTATAAATTAGCAGCTATTATTATCCCCATTTTATAGATGAAGAGTCTGAGGTGCAGAAGAGTTAAGTAACTTGCCTAATGTCATATTGCTAGTAAGGAGTAAAGCCAGGAGTTGAAGCCCCAGGTCATCTAGCTACAGAGTCTAAGCTCTTAATCTGAAGAATCTAAGCTTCTAACCACTGTACTATACCATCAATCATTCAGTTATGCTGGTAATTTAGACATAGATTAAAACAAAATGCAACTAACATACACATAAAAATGAAAATAAAATAGAGCTTTTTCTGAATAATCTATAGTACTATAAACATATTTAGATACCTATATTTAAATATACACCTAGATAATCAGGCAGAAACATACACAGACAGAATTACACTTGGATCTGCACATATACATCAGGTAATTATTCCTATTTCTATATTTCCATTCTTTTCTTTTCTCCCAAAGTATCAAATATGAAGATATCCAATTAAAGTGACTTTATTTTCTGAGCAGTCAAATTCCAATGCAGACACAGAATATATTTATCAGTAGTATACCTTTGTATACCTTTGGCAATAAAATACTACAGGATATATTTAGTTCTTGTTCCCTGGTCTTTTATTTTCCAAATCTTCCCAGCCTCTATGTGCAAAGAAGCAGTTATATTTACTATTTTCATATTTACATGCAGGAAAGGAATTGCTCCCACTGTCAAATAACCAAAAGAAAATCTTTCATCCTTCCTTTCTCAGCAGCATGGGCATTGGGCTGTGCCTTTACTTTTCAGTTAAACACAAGGTAGAAATGTCAGTAGCAAGAGCAGGAAGAGTAATTTCATGTATAAAAATTCGTCATGTCAATGGTTTAACAACCATTTTACTTGACAATAGAATGACTCTCACAAAAGAGGCCAGGTGCTCACAGTATTCCAGAGTGATGGGCCGCTATTAAGAGGTGTTAGGTTATAACTGCTTCTGAATACATTTTACTAGTCCCAACCTGGCTTATTCAGCAAGGCTGAGTTCTTACAGGCCTGATCACTTTCTTTCTTTCTTTTTTTCAAGGATTTTATTTATTTATTTGTCAGAGAGAGAGCGCACACACAAGCAGGGGGAGCATCAGGCAGAAGCAGAGAGAGAAGCAGGCTCCCCGCTGAGCAGGGAGCTCAATGTGGGACTCGATCCCTGGACCCTGGAATCATGACCTGAGCTGAAGGAAGAGGCTTAACTGACTGAGCCACCCAGGCGTCCCACACCTGATTACTTTCTGCTCCTTTTCAACATATGGGTCTATATTTATCATTGAAATAGCATGAGAGTGAAAAAGTAGCATTTTAGTGGCAGTCAGGCCTGGTTCCGATGTTGACTTCTCCATCGTCTGTGGATCAGTTGGCAAAGGATGATCACCTACTTTCTCATGGTTTCATCATCTACAAGGAGCCCTCGCTGGGCTGTTTGGGAGGATTCACTGAAACGCCTGCCATGGTTCCTGATTTTTAGCAGTGGCTCAGGAAATACGAACTTTAGTTCCTTCTCTATAGGCCAAATGAAACATTGCCATTTGAAAATATTTACCCTCCTTTCCTAACATCCATCACTGTGATGGGTGCCATCGATACTGAACTCACTGAGTCGCGACAGGAGAAATGATGCTTTAGTCCTCCTTGCAAGGGTCATTAGTGTTTAAAAAAACTAAACTGGATGGAATATGGTACTTTTAGGCTAGGATAGCCTGCATGCGATGCACCAGTAATTAGGATGAATGGAGTGATTTGAAAGAGAGTTGGTCTCAGATCCTAGCTGCTCTCAAATAATGATACTCAAGAAAAAAAACATATTGCCTCACAAGTAACAAAAAAGAAAGCCATTCAAAAATTACATCCCAGCTGTTTCTTTATTCTCTTTTATGAGGTCCGTATACACTGTGCTAAATTCTTTGTGACACCTAGAAGACCAAACCATAGTGGCCAGCCGATGACAGGGAGTAGGCAGAGCGAGGTCCCCGCTGTAACCGGAGCGCCAGGTCTCCCTGGGAGCTGCAGAGCCGTGGGTAGGCAGACAACACCTAAACCCTTAGATGGGGAGATAACTTCCCATGGCTGTGACTGCACATGCATATGGCCCCTGATTTGCCAAAACGACAGCTGAGGTGGCATCACTTCCTTGTAGGGAGTGTGTGCACCATTTCTGTTTGTACCCAGGGGCAAGACAGGTTAATAAGGCCAAGAAGGAGGGGAGGACGTAGGAGTGGGTAATAACTGGAGAGCATCAACCTGGGGGGGAAAAGAAGGAGGGGCGAGGATGGAGGGTGTTCCCTCTTGCTTCTGCCTATGTGTCAAGTGGCAGGAGAAATTTTGAAAGCTGTGAGGAGGAGCTAGTGACTGGGTTTTGGGGTGTTTCGTACCCCACCCTCCCCACTTGTAGGAAAACCTCTGCACATTCAGAGGTAATTGAATTGGAAGGAGGAGGACTGACCTGGAAATAGGAGGAAAGCAATTCTCCTGCTCTTCCTTCTGTCTTTTATCGCTTGCCTCCTGACTCTCCTCCAAACCCAGCTCAGCTGCGCCAAGGTGGCCGCAGCATACCCCACGCACGTGCCAGCCATTGGGGAATCTGCTAAAGCCACCCTGTGCATCCCAAGCTGCCCTATTATCCAGCCACCATCCCTGACCATTGGGACCACTTCTGATGGCTGTGGCCTCGGCTGCCCCAGGGAGCATCTTCTGTAAGCAGCTCCTTTTCTGTCTCCTGGTGAGTAACAACCAAAGGATTAGGGAACTCAAGCATGTCACTACGTGCTTCCTCCCTCCAGTTTAGGCTTGAAAGGCAGTAGGGGTGGCAGTGGAAGGCAGAGAAGATGGACTGGGAGAACAAAAACAGAGCTGAGGAAAAGTCAAGGAAGGGTTGAGAGACCTGTGACCTGGGATGGCAGGTGTTTTGTTTATTCTTCACGCGCCCACTGCCAGGACATTAACGTTTTTCAAGGGAATCCCCTGTTCAGTCTTGCTCTGGTGTTTTCCTAAGGAGTAGTGGAATGACTTCATTCCTCGGGCATTTGGCCCAAAGGTTCTGAGGTTTGCTTTTGCTAGGAGTCATTAAATAAGCTGTCGATATTTTACAGTTTAGTTCCACTGAGCTGCAAGAAGAGGAAAAGGAGCCTGGGTGAAGTTGCAAATTATCCAGGACTTTCATTTTACCCACCAGGAGCTAAGAGACAAGCAGAACTCCTAGTTTGAGCAAAGGGTTTAACTTGAGAAAAACAATAAAGAAAAATGTGACCGTCACTGAAAAAATTCCATTAAGTTGACTTCCACTTAGGTTTTTCAGAGTTTTGTACATGTGTACTCAGGTGCTATTTTTCTTTGGTAGGAATGAGGGAGAGGGCATTTGTCCAATATCTCCACCTGGCATTTTCTGAGCTGGGAATTTCCTTTTTTTTCTCTCCATTTTGGCAAAATCCTTTAGCTTCAAGTTATATTTTTAGAATTTAAAGATTTAACTGTATGGGGGTAAACAATTTCTCCATATAAATATATGATGCAGGGTTGATGGTCAAATTCTCATTCTGTAACTTCCTGGGGTAGGGGGGACAACAACAACTTCAGAGACCACCTTAAATTAGTATTAGGTAAAATGCAGTGAAAGATTTCTGAGGGATTCGTCCAGATTTCTTTTGCTTCTGGTCTCTGCTGTGTCCAGTATCCTTTGGTTCATCCCTTGCCCATCCACCCTTAACCCCCATAATAGCTAAAAGGTTGTCTGACCCCAGCTGCCTCTAAGTCATTAAGCTGCGAATTTAACTTGAAGACTGGAACAGTACTTCTGCAGACCTCCATTGGCTATGCCTACAGAGGCAGAAGCAAAGAAGTGGGGGTCCTAGGGCGGGAAGGAAACAAGATTGGTGTGGAAGTGGGAATGTGGCTACATCCTATGAGAATCATGTGTGTGTATATATAGGTTAGATATATGTATATACACACGCATATATATACATACAGATGTGTGCATACATATATATATTTTGTCAATTAAAAAATACTCTTTCCATGTCATATATTTAGATCATTACTAATAGGATTCTTTATGTTCAGAAAGTTCTTGGGCTATAATTTAGTTTATTCCTTGGCATTAAGAATGAGTATATTAAAAAAGTCAAATAAGAACGTCTTATGTTTTAAAAAAGTGGTTATTTAAACCAAATACAATTCCAACAAATTCATTCTGCAACTATCTGTTAAACACCTACTATGTGCTGAGCACAGAGTTTCTGACAGAGAACAAGAGAGGTGTGGTTTTTCCCCTTCAGTAGCTCACAAGGTAATGGAACTGAGGCCTGGAAACAGAAAGAACATTGCATGGCCATATGATTAGCCTTATGCTACATTCCGGGAAGGGGAATGTGGGGGTGTTGTGAAAACATATAACAGGGAGGCTAAAAAATAAAATAAAATAAATACAATTAATTAATTAAAGTGAATACAAATTGACTTTTTAAATTCCAGTTTTTTTGTATTATCTGCATAACAGTTTTTGTAAAATTACAAACTATTTAAATAGGCTGATATAATACGGCAAGTGGAATTGAATTGAGTTGGAAATGAACTACACACTCTGGGTATGGACGATAATGCCCTCCTCTTTCTTTCTCCCAAATAATATGTCCCATAACTCTAAAATACATCCTCAGAAAAATTAATCATAAAATTGACTTGTTTCTGGGAAATCTAGCTCTGCTCTATCTTATATTTAAATAATCAAAAGGCAGTCATTTTGATAAACAGAAGAGGAAGCAAATAAATACAAAAGGCCAAGAAAAAGAAGCAAACTATGTTTTGAAACTGTCGATACTTTTAAGCTAATAACTTTTTTCCCCCAGACAGTTTATCTTCTTTCCTTTAACTACCTAGCTTTCTAAAACAATAGCTGTGTCTTGAATTTAGTTACCAATCTTTACCCAGTTGAAGGCTACTCCCTATGTTTTGATTTATATTTCTTTTTAGACCAGTTTTTTGATTCGAGATCATTCAGACTTTCAAGTTTACGCCAAACCAGTCCCAGGAGTGACCTGAGATGAGTGAAGATTTGTGGGTGTTGTTCTTTGCGAGGTTAAAAAAAAATCCTCATGGTTTCTAGCCTTAATCAACTATAACTTCAAATTGTGTGGGGTTATTGGAAATGATGATTTGTGTACAAATATGTGATCATTAAATTCCAAAGTTAAGTACTTTCTTCATGCTAAGAAATCAGGGTGACATTTATGGATTGGCCTTAGAGATGACAGTCTTTATATAAAATCAATTGTTTGTAACCCATTTTTTTTTTTAATGGTACAATAGGATTTGGGTTCTAAGAACTACTGTTCATTTTAATTTTCATTAATACTAAATGACTGTGGTGCCCCTAAAGCCACTTCCTTTGCTTTTCCCTTTTAAAATGAATATGGGGGGGGTGCCTGGGTGGTGCAATCTGTTGAGAATTGCACTCTTGGTTTCGGCCAGGGTCCTGATCTCAGGCTCATGGAATTGGGCATCAGGCTCAGAGTCTGCTTGAGACTGTCTCTCTCTCTCCTTCTGTCCTTCCGCACCCCCCACCTTCTCTCTCTCTAGAATAAAATAAATAAATCTTTAAAATAAAATGAATATGAAAAATATTGAAGGACCAGAAGATAAATTTGTTTCTGAAATTGACATTATTTTTATCAATAAGACAAAATTGTAATGTGAAAGTTTGTGATCAAATATAATTCCTGATTTCTTCTTCTTCTTTTTTTTTTTTGAGGTTTTAATATTATCTTGCGATGCTTGTCAGAACATTTCTCTTCAAGTTCCTTCTCATCTTCAGGCCGAAACACTTGTAGGCAAAGGTGAGAAACGGCATTAAGAATTTCATAGTTTTAACTGCTACATTTAGCTTCAGGCTGCTCTTGTAAAGTTTGGGATAAAGCCATGTAATAGCTACTTGGCATTAAAATTCAACATAAAATGAAAGATGGACTACTTGTTTTTTGGTAGTGGTTAGAAACAATTAAAGTACCAAGTTAGTTGTATACTCTTCTTGCCAGAAAAATTAGCAAACATCAAAGGGCTAAATTAGCTTAGTTCAGACTAATGAAGGCATGAAAACCAGAGGCATATTTTTATCCATATCAACTAATCTGCTGCCAAAATTCCAAAGCCAATGCTCTTTAATTGATTAGATATAAAACAGATGTGTTAAAATTTAAATGTCCCTAAATAATATTCGTGGTTGAGGTTGACTATAATGAACAAGTACCCCCCCCAAGAATTTATGTGATCTGTTACAGAGAATAGCTTGTGGGGAAAGTCAAATAAAATTTCAACAAGTCTTACTATCACAGCCATCCCTCAAGCATAGGCTGGTCGCTCTGAGTCCAAAGGTCACATTCCTTTTATCAGGTTTTTCTTTGGCCTTAAGTTTAGACCTTGAATACAGAAGTGGTATCCTTTCCAAGACAGACATCATTTTGCCCAGTGCTTTGAAGTTTTAAATTAATCCATTGCCTTATATCTTCTAAAAACACTTAAGAGATAATACAACCTATACTCTATAGACACATAGCAAATGTGCTAAATATGTTAAATATGAATCTGTAAGTGAAATATTTTGATAACAACCCCATTATATATATTAAGTATTACTCAGGTATAGGCCAATTTTCTTACTTTTTGCAAGATAGTTTTAGTTATCAAAGATTGTTGCTGACATGTTTCCAAATCTACTGATACCATACAGTTATATACTACATATAAAATGATAAATTTGTATGTATATGTACAAACCCATAAGTAAGAGTTAAAGTGGAAACAATAAATCCAGGGACACTAAGAAAATATTTTATATCTCTTCACAAATTGATTTATGATGAAAATAATGGAAACTATGACTCCATTTATTTAATTATTTAATTTCCATGGCCCCTCAATTTTATAATAGCAGGTACTCAACAAGCTCCAAGCATAACCTCCCTCTTTTTGCTTCTCACGGACTTACTGTCAGTTGTCATTCCTGTAAAACCTGTTCTATTCCTGTTTTATTTTACAAATTACTGCGAATGTCTTCCCTGCAGTGAATCTGAAGGAATGCTTCCCTTCGGCCCGCCTAATCCTGTCAAGCGATCCCGACTTCAGGATTCTAGAGGATGGTTCCATTTACACAACACATGACCTCATTTTGTCTTCTGAAAGGAAGAGCTTTTCCATTTTTCCTTCAGACAGCCAGAGCCAAGAACAGAAAAAGATAGAAATCGTACTGGACGTGGGAGGAAAGAAGGTATACAGTCTGCTTATGAGAGTCCATCATTTCATGTGTTTCCTTCCCCCCTAAAATCATTGTTCCTGAACACTCAACTTGTTTATTTATTCCACTTCTAATTAACCTATGCAAAGACTAGACTGTTTCAAGAAATGGTAGAGCTATCTACAAAATGGTGTAAAAATGAACAGCTCTGCAGCCTATCAGATTTCAGATAGTGGTTGGAGGTGAGGCAATTAGCACAACCAACCTGAAGAACAGGCAGGGGTGAGTCTAAAAACTCAGTGAAAACTGGTTCAGGTTGGAGGTGTGGCACTCCACCCTGAGTGGCTTTCTCCCAAGTGACTGTGGGTTTCAGTCGCTTTAAAGAGATTGTCTACAGCTTACTCCCATCTTAATAGAAAATGCCACGAGGTCCCTCTCTTCAGAGAATGAAGTATAGCCAGCCCACAGGACTGGTTGGAATGTTCTGGCTCTAAGCTCATTTTCTTGCAATGAGTGCTAGTGATCAAGGAGTGGGAAGGGAGAGGTTACTGAAATTCACAGAAATCTCACTGTAAGCAAATTCTGCACCATGAAATACGTCTTGTGGAATAATTTATTAATAAGTAATTTAATTTATGAGAGACTTCCCCAGCTAAATTCCTTCTGATTATAAGAATTCTTCACCAAATTTAGAATATGCTTGCATTTTAATATGCATTACACATATTACAAATTTAGGAGAAGGCTTATAAAACATTATTTCATACTGTAGAGTTCCCACATCACATAAAATAAAATATAGTTGAACGAATGCTGACCCCTGTCTTTGCATTGTTATACAAATGCTTTGCACTGTAGCACGTGTTTTAACAAATATTGGTTATGCCACGCCTAGTGAAATAAAAATCAGTTTTTAGATATTTGTTAACAGATTATCTCAGTTTAGGGGGTTTATACTTCTCAAGATGGCATCTTTCAGCAACGCCCTACAAAATTCTGGTTGATTAACTGGTTAAATCGAATGAAACTTGTTCTTACGTGTGCATGTATGTATCTTAATAAAAAACAGAAATGGTTTGGGTATTACCTGTGGTATCATTAGGTACAGCATTTCCTTATTTTTTTCATGTTGATGTACATGTGAAAATCACAGTTCCTGGCGAGAGGCAGGGCTGTATTTCTTCATCTCTCACCACATGCAGGCTCCCAAGAAGAGGCACACCAGAGACACAGTTCTCAAACGCAGCAAGAGACGATGGGCCCCTATTCCCTGTTCACTAATGGAGAACTCACTAGGTCCGTTTCCACAACATGTTCAGCAGGTACATTTTACCTCATTTGACTTTATATAGTAGAGGTTTTGCTTGTTTACTTTTAAAACTTTCCATTTGAATGGAATCAGGCCTTTAACTTGTTGTACTAATAAGGATCATCCATTCACCAGGACTAGAAAAAAAAAAAAAATCAGTGTATTTGGTCACTTGCCTCCAGAAATCATATTCAACATTTAGAAACAAGTTTAAGATTTTGAGTTTCTGATGCTCTTAAATCTATATCTAGATTTTCCTGAATACTCTACCAGACTTCAGCATTCTTGGACAGAGGACATGCCTACAGATTTTGCATAATTCAATTGTCCCCTTAATTAACACTTATCCTCACAAAAAAGACCAGTATTTTTGTTTACCAAAAAGGTGATGTCACTGCCGGCTAGCTGAAGCGCAAAAATACGCCAGCTTTGAAATTAATGAATTAATTGTGGGTGGAAGGTTGCATTATTTTTACTTTTTTTAATCAGAAAAGTTTCCATTCCAAATCACTCAAAACCACTGAAATTGTTACTATGCTTTATATAGGAATAAGCATTAAGTGACTAGGAATTGTGAAGGTATGTTCAACTCCAAGATTTTCCAGAAATATGCAGAGAATTCAGAAGAATTTGGGATCAAATAGATGATCCAGTTTGTGGCTTTGCACACTGTAGAATGTGAATAAGAATGTGAAAAATATGGGGAATGATGGGAAGATAAGCAGGGGCCAGAAAGAATGGGTGAATAGGAAGGAGAGCAAGTGAAAAAAATTAAAGCATCACGACAAATTAGGTTGAAGGTATTTATCATAGTATATTTGTTCTTTTACTAAACTGTCACTTAATGTTATAGGTCCAGTCTGATGCTGCACAGAACTACACCATCTTTTATTCCATAAGTGGACCAGGAGTGGACAAAGAACCCTTCAATTTGTTCTTCATAGATAAGGACACAGGGGATATCTTTTGTACACGAAGCATAGACCGTGAGCAATATGAACAGTTTCCAGTAAGATCATTGGATTATTCAGAATTATCTTTTTTTAGTTATGGTTTTTATATTTTCAATGCTGCTTATTTACATATTAGAAGCATTATTTGATTTAACATTTTAAATATTGTTAATGTATAATGTAAACTTCAAATTTCTATTAGTGCAGTTAATGAAGAAAGATAACGGGTAGCATAAGGGAAGAAAAGGGGAGAAAAGCTATGTAAAATACAATGACAAATTTTAAAGGCCAGGCTTTGATCTGTAGAACCCTGGGACAATAGCAGTGAATTTTGTTGAGTTTGTAGTTCCCGATAATAACAGGTTTCAACTATTCTCAACCTGACTGTACATTACAAATCACACGAGAACTTTTTAAAAAATACTGATGCTTGGGTCACTTCCCAGAAATTCTGATTTAATTGTTCTGGGATAGGGCCCCAGCAATCGAAAATTTGAAGTAACCCAACATAATTCTAAACATATCTTAAGATTGAGGTTCACTGCTTTCACCTCTTGAATAATAGAGTGCTTCTTTTCTTTTCTTCTCTCTGCCTGTCCTCCAGCCATGAGAACCTTGGATATCATTTTATTTCTTTAGTATTCCAGAATAAGTTTATCAGTTCCTCTTACTCTATCTAATTTGACCCAAAGAAAAATTCTAGCTCTTCCGAAAATTAAATCCTTTCTTTTTTCTGTTTCAAACTTCACATAACTCCTTAGTGTTCTGAGGTCTAACCTGACATACAGGAGAAATTCACAGTGAGTTTCGGGGACACAGTGAGTTAAATTGTTTAAGCGCTTGGATTCTTGAATTAAAAATCTCTTCATTAAAGGAGTCCATAAAAGGAAAAATTATCTCATACTTGGGCAGTCCAGAAAGTAACATCTTAGCAGATATCCGAAAGATAAGCAGGAACTAGTAGCCACACAAAGGCAGCCATGAAAGAAGTGAATGATCACAGCGGGGGGGGGGGGGGGGGGGGGGGGGGGGGGGGGTGAAGACCCTGTCCTAAGGGTGTCAAAGCACTGGATAAGGTGATAAAATTTTTAGAACAGCATAATGTCCCACTTTAGAGATTTCATAATTAAATTAAATGGTTGGTTTAGAATGACACATTTTCTTTATAATTTTATGCTCCCACCCAAATTCTCTAAACAAACATACCTTATGCATAATAATACTAAATTATTACTTTAAGAAACAGCTTACATAGACTCTAATAAGAGAAGTATGCTAAGCATTATTGCAAACATTTTGATCTATCAAGAAACCAAATAAAAAGTTGGTACATATATATATGTATATATATATATATACACACACACATACCTATATATATATATATAGGTATGTGTGTGTAAATATGTAAATTCTCTGCTCCCCCTTTTTAAAAAGATTTTATTTATTTATTTGTTAGAGAGAGAGAGCACAAGCAGAGGGGGCAGCAGGTAGAGGGAGAAGCAGGCTCCCACTGAGCAAGGAGCCCCAATGCAGGTGTCTATCCATGGACCCTGGGAGCATGACTTGAGCTGAAGGTGGATGCTCAATCCACTGAACTACCCAGGCGTCCCTCTGCCTCTTTTAAAGATCCAGTATAAGAAGAAAAGATCTAGCACTAGTAGTCACTCCTGAGAAGAAATAATAAGCTACCTACTCTGTATGCTGCAATGTACATTTCATTTCTTATTTTGCTGATAACATCCTGTTTTTGAGTTTTTGATGTTTCAGCTGCTTCTCACTGGATCATTGTCAGAGAAAAGGAGGAGAGAATAGTTTTATTCCAAAAAAAAAGGGCACATGGGTGTTGCAATCGATTAAGTGACCAACTCTTGGTTTTGGCTCAGTTGTGATCTCAGGGTGGTGATCTCAGGGTCGTGAGACCGTGCCCACCTGGGGCTCTGTGCTCAGCATGGAGTTGGCTTAAGACTCTCTCTCCCTCTCCTCTGGCCTTCACCTTCATGCTCTCTCTCTAAAATAAATAATAAATAAATCTTAAAAAAAAAAATAAGTTACATGGAGTGACAGGCTGGATTATGTTGGTAGAGCATGTGACTCTTGATCTCAGGATTGTGAGTTCAAGCCCGAAGTTGGATGAAGAGATTACTTTTTTTAAAAAGTGACTTTGCTATTTTTAAACATCTTTTGAAGGACAAAAGGAATAAAATAGTTTGGAATTTATGCTTATTGTTGGGCTTCTGGATAATTTTTATTTCAGAATTACCCATGTTTCTCTAGTTCCCATTAACATAGTTAAGATTGAATTGATATTAAGAAACACCACATGCAAATTAGTAAGATTCATAAAGGGAAGTATAACAACCAGATGTAAACATGATGAAACATGGAATCACTTGAGGCAATATAGAATGGAAGCCTTCTCTGTCAACATAGAGGTGCAAACTAAAATAATACATCTTTGCTTTTCTATCAAATCAATTTCACTTACTAGCTTTATATTGGAAAGCTTATTTCTCTGGAAATTAGTAGATCTTCATCATCTGCCACTTTTTCTTAGCCTTAGACGAGTCACAACCTTCAGGAATCTGTTTCCTTCTCTGTCTTACGGGCTACTAATAGTCTTATCTACCTCAGAGCTGTTACAAACATTAAATACTCAAATTAAATATTGGTAAAATCAGTATGTAAACCGTACAGCTCTTTAAAAATGTCCTAGTGGTGGGTCACACAATACACATGCTCTAGGATTTTGTCCTCAAAACAGGATTTTGACGGGATTTCCCAATTTTTTGCATTTATCTAACCTATACAAATGTTATGTATTACTCAATTATTGTTACTTGAAATAATTGGATTTCATTGATTACTGGCACAGGTTGCCATGGGTCTAATTCAATATACATCCTCATTGTGCTCCTGTTCTCTCTCTTGCCCCATGTTAGATTGTTTAATCTTGGCTTGTATTTTTCTGGATGAGTCATACCATTCTTACAGTTTGAGGAGTTTGTCTTAAACCATTAAGTTCATCTAATCTTTCAGGGATGTGTATAAGTCCATTTTATCCAAGCTTTTCAAAGAATAGTTGTATAAGAAGAGGATTTTCTTCAATAATTCCCGGTTATTCTATGAAAGAAAGCAGTTGCATACCTATTTCTCTTTGAGTGTTGAGGAGAATCTGTATCTTTTGTAAATACATAGGGAAAAATTGGTTTCAAGCTAATCCCTTTCCCATCCAACCAGAGCCTTATTATCTTGCAACATGTTTCTTCTTCAGCTGCACAGGTCCACCCATTGTCTTTATATGTACGTTGCTAATCATATTGTGTACCCACTCCACTTTGGTGCCACTGCTTCCCCCACTTCTGCCCAATCTACACGAGACATCTTTCTTTACAAGGTCAAACTCAAGTTCCCACTCCTGTTGGCAACTGTTTGCATCTTCCCAAAGATATAAAAAAAATAAATAAATTTAGCAAATTGCAGTGGGAAAGGGCTAAAAGAGATGAGATTGTTCAAGCTACAGAAGAATTCAAGGGAGAAACAATATATCAAAAATGCACATGAAATTTAAATAATTCTCTTCTAACTCAGCTAAAAATATGACCAATTTTAAAGTATAATATTCTAGGGCGCCTGGGTGGCTCAGTTGGTTAAGCGACTGCCTCCGGCTCAGGTCATGATCCTGGAGTCCCGGGATCGAGTCCCACATCGGGCTCCCTGCTCAGCAGGGAGTCTGCTTCTCCCTCTGACCCTCTTCCCTCTCGTGCTCTCTATTTCTCATTCTCTCTTTCTCAAATAAATAAATAAAATTTAAAAAAAATAAAAAATAAAGTATAATATTCTATATACTTCTTATAGCAATATTCAAGTATATGATTATTGGTTTCAGTATAAAATAATGTGAACTCTACTGTAAAAGCAGTACTATTATTGAGTTTACTTTAATGACTAAATAAGAAAATATTTATAATTAGTTTCTCTATTACAGGAACATAAATGGATTCTCCTAGGGAGCTAGGCTATGCTTTAAACTTTAGCTATATTCCTAGTTTAGATCATCCTCTCTACAATAATGATTTCAGTTTTGATTTATTTTGGAGATACTTAGCTCATTATTAGTAAAAAAAATAATAAAACCAGGTACCTGAAATAGTACCTGAAATAAAATCACCACATCTGAATCCGTGGAATGTGAGATAATGATATTTACTTGTTGTTAAACATCAGGAAACACTATTATTTCAAACTCTAAATGATTGTATGGTGAGAACCAGATGATCTTAATTTCTGATGAAGAGAAACACTAGCAAGAAATTGTGTAAATTATAGCAGGATGGGTTTAGGTTAGATAGGGAGATAATTTAATGCCAATGTGATGAAGTAGAAGAATTCATTACGAGTGATTCTATGGAGGATGTTTATGATAATTTTTTACAAAGGGCCGATTTAAAGGGTAGTTTGTCATTCTAAAAAGGAAAGATGGATGAAATTGAATGTGAAAAGCTACTTATTGAAGAATTACCTCCTTGTGCCCTGTGTTAGGTGCTTCGGCATACAAATATCAGTATGTCTCAGGCTCCATCCCTGAGGACAATTGTCAACTTATAGAGACATAAAACAATTCCATTTTCTGTCGCTAAAAATCTCAAAATAGCAGCAGTTTAAAGAAAGAAAAATTCATACAAAATCTGAGGGGAAAGGAAAAGATTGATAGGAAGGCTGATAGGTGTGACATCCTGATAGGCCGGTGGTGATGAAAACCACCATGCTGCTGATGGGGACGGTGAACCAGAATACCCCTGTATTTCCCCTCGGAGTTCAGAATTTATTGAGAAATAAGAGCTAGTGATCAGACTGATGGAAATCAAAGTATGAGTTTTATTACTGAAAAAGTCTACCTGGGGATTGTTTGGGGAAAAGTAAATAAGGAAACAGAAAGTACATGGTCATTTCAATACCTTCCATCCCAGAGAGTGGAGTGGAAGTTTCTTCCCCTCCAGATGAACTGTGAAGATGAAATGTTGCCTTTTAACACAATAGTGGGGATTTTGTGGTTACTCTGGTAGATGATACATAGATCACTAAAGAATCTGATTAAGTAATATCATGATCAAAATTGTGTTATGTGGAAATGAATCTGAGTCTTGAGTGCTGCAGAAATTGGAGAAGGTCAATTAAGACAATTGCAGGAAAATTGGTGGGATAACATGTAGGATACATTTGGGGTCTCTTGAGAATGATGGCATTAAGAATAAAAAAGAGATAATGAGTGGCAGAGACACAGAAATGCCAGAATCTCTAGAACTTGGCAACTGACAAATAAGGCTAGAAAGACAGGGAGGAGGTAGATACCTGGAATTTTAACCCTGGTTCATTTTGGAAGATGGTTACAGTAGGAAAATCAGGAAGAATTAATATCGGTGAAGAACTAAATTAATACAGAATTCACCTTGGGCTTGTTTAGTTGGTGCTGTCAGTAAAAGAAAATCTGTTTAACTCAACAACTATTTATTGAACACTTATTATGCATAAGCCACATAAGAAGAGGGCAGAAATAAATTGATGTTCTTTGAAAGGAAAGGACATTAAATTCTGGCCTTTGAAACCAAGATATATCATTTTGAGATGGGATTTGGAACGTGTATATGATTTTATTGGCACTTTTATTACACAAGAAATATGTTTATGATAGAAAAACGAGAACATGCAGGTAAATAGAGTAAAGAATTTATAACTGAATCACTGAAGATAGTTGATATCTGTTTATACATATATGCAAATCCATAAATAAATGGAATCCTATTTTTTATAAACTTTAATAAAATACTTGTTATTAGCATAACTGGGGGAAATTTACATACATTCTAACAAGCAGAAGGCACGCAGTTAATTCTTGGAGAACAGAGTAGCCTCATTTAGCTGGGGTGCATGGTCCTTGGTGGGCGAATCACGTGGATGCTACAGGAGGATTGAAGGCATATGGCAGCATCCACTGTGCTGGTGTGTTTTCCATCACCCAGGTTCTTAGTTACATATTCATTTGTGGATGACTTTTTAAACATTATGTCTTTCCCCAACCGCTAGGCTTAATTTTGTGCCTAATTGGTCATTTACGAACAAGCTGACAGTGCTTGTCTACCTTTCAGCTATATGCCTACGCCACGACAGCAGACGGTTATGCCCCAGAGTACCCACTCCCCTTGCTGTTCAGAGTTGAAGATGATAACGATAATGCTCCGTATTTTGAAAACAAAGTGACTGTCTTTAGTGTGCCTGAAAATTGTCGAACTGGTAAGTCCACATCGCAGGAGAACACTAGATTTTTGCTTTGATTCAATTCCTCAGTAATGTTTTAAACACAATTATGCAAAAACACTTAACAATGCTTGAATGTCAAGGCTATTCGATATAAAACTTTGTAATCTTCGAAGAGCGTATACTCTTCAAAGGCAAACCTTTCTGTGCTCATCTGTGCTGCGCACAGGCACCAGGCAACTAATACATGAAGTTACCAACTTCGTTAGATTAGTCCATGATGCATATGAGTGTGTCACAGAAACGCTATTCGTATTTTCTATTTTGCCCATGTACATAGGTGTCACAGATGCATTTATAAAGCAATAAATAATCTGAGTCTTTAAAAAGTTTCAATACATTTTCAAGGACCCAGAAGTATATCATCTCGTGGAAATGTTTATCTGACTTTTAACAATATATACATCCATTTCCTTGGCAAATTGGTTTGATGTTATAGGCAGCCAAGATTGCGACCTAGGCACATCAGTGGGCATAAGACTGTCCAGTTTCTTTTAAAAATAAAAACGTTACAAGAAATGCCTCCTCCATTCTCTTGTCATTAGGTTTGTATGCATGTTTAACACTGTTCTTTCATAGTTAGGGGTTTGCTAAAGCAACATTTCTCATACTTGGATCCCTGGGCTGTAAAGCTTGTCCAATGATACTCGGACTGCTATACAATGTCTGTCTTACATATACTAATGAGTACTTGCATGTATTAACAATTCAGCACATTTATTACAATATCAAGGTATAAAATCTTTGTTATCCTATTCAAAGCTGTGCTATTCGTCTCACTAACATTATCAAGTTTGCCTATAAAAGAACCAAGACCTTGCAGACAAGGTCCCATCCAAAAATGGTCTGTGAACTGGGGTGGTGGGTTGGGGAGAAGGATTTGAGAACCACTCTTACCAAGGGTAGTGTGCATCTTCCCGGACATGTGGCATATAAATCCTGTTATTCAAAATACCCACATCATTGAAATTTCCAAGTGAGGGGAGCTTGGAGTTTGGGAGAGCATTTAAGACACTGCACTTGTTTGTAAAATCAATATACTTGTCATTTTGGGGAGAATAGGCCTTGTTTGTTTGTAATTCAATTATATGGCTCTTTTAAGTTGTTGACAATATTGTTGACAATATGGGATTTATCTGAACAGGAACTTCGGTGGGACAAGTGACTGCCGTAGACCTCGATGAACCTGACACTCTCCATACTCGTCTGAAGTATAAAATCTTACAGCAAATCCCAGATCATCCAAAGCATTTCTCCATACATCCAGACACAGGTGTCATCACCACAACTACACCTTTGCTGGATAGAGAAGTAATGAACTGATTAACTAATTTTACAGTCACTAAACTATATTCAAACTGATAATGAACTCCCAGAGGAGTCTGACCACCTCTCCAAGCTTGCTTCCACACAGGCTGTGCTTAGGGCTTCTCTGGATACTTCCTTTGTGTCTACAAAGATTTGGGGAAGGTACAAGGAATTAGATAAGTTCTCACTTAAGATCATTGACCTGATGTGATGTGTGGATGTGAAATAGCTTTAAATTTTGAAATTTTGTTAGACATATCAGGTTTCTATTGGACTGACTAGCCAATCTCTTGTTCTGTATTTATATTTGAGGTGGCCTTTTCTTTTTTTTTGTAAAAAAATAAAAAAAGAATGTAAAATAATCAGAGCCTACACATGGCTATGAGAATTGCAAGTTATAGGAAATAGAAGTGTTCGTCAATGTACCTTTTTCTTTCTTTTTTTTTTTTCAGCATTGTGATACATACAAGTTAGTAATGGAAGTGCGAGACATGGGGGGCCAACCTTTTGGTTTATTTAATACAGGAACAATTACTATTTCACTTGAGGATGAAAATGACAATCCACCATATTTTACCGAAACTTCTGTGAGTATATCTTTGTACTCATTTACCTAGGTTCATTTACTTTTTCAAAAAAAACACACAAGGAATTCGGTAGTTCTGTGAGATTACATATTTTGGTTTTAAGAGCTACCACTGACAGATAACATGTAAAAAATATGATTTCTGTAAAAATAATTGAAGAACCAGTTATTTCTAAATGCTAAGGAAAAAAAAAACTAATCTCTTGGCTATCTAAGGGCTTCTTTGTCCTTGATGTTGTTCATGTATTCACCATTTTCTTGGATGCCAAGGTCTGTTATTGGATGCCTTGGATTTAAATTTATTTTATAGAGTGCAGGAAAGGATGCCTTGGATTTAAATTTATTTTAAAGAGTGCAGGAAAGGATGCCTTGGATTTAAATTTATTTTATAGAGTGCAGGAAAAGAGGCCCCCCCCCCCCCTCTGGTATCCTTTGCACTTCAGCTTCCTAAGATGCAAAAGAGATTAGCTTTATATCTTCTGCTTTGCTGGGGCATCAGTAAGTACAGTGTGGTCCTCCCATTATCTATATGCAGATCCTCTCAGCATCATGTATGAGTGAACTTTCCCTTAGGAAGTACACAAAACAAGAAATATATATAGGATGATACTTCCAGGAAATGGCTCTTCTTTCCTGAACTTTTAGTAAGTGATCATTTTTTTCATTAATCTATATGAGAGTACAAGTTAAAGAAGAGAAAACCTTCAGTGATAGGCACATCCATACAATGTTTTATATGAATCCCTACAATTTGTAAGGATATGTTTATCCCATAGTTTATTTGAGAAAATGAATATTCAGTTAAATAATTTGCTTATGATCTCATACATATAGACCATGTAAGAGGAAAAACTGGGATTAGAATCAAGATCTGTTATACTCCAAAGGCTATGAGGTTATCATCCTTCTTTGAATTCATTTTACATTTCTAGAAGATTCTGGTTTACTACTTTTTTTAATCTTTTAATATAATATGCTTCTGTAGCTGTATTTCTTTTTTGGAGGGAAGAGGAAAAAATGTGATTTAATTTCTCAAAAAGGGAAAAACTTTTTCCTTAAAATGTTTGCTAAGGAATCAGAAGTAAATTAAAAACAAAAATTGGCATAATAACAAGTCATCCAGTAATAATAAGAAATCAATGTAGGTTATAATTATCTATAAATGTTGAAGGCTTAATATGTTAATATAAAAGGGGCCATAGGCTATAAATATTGAGGAGATTCAGAATAGAGACAAATCTGAGGGCTTGAGTGATCTCAGAGAAGTTTAGAAGTTAAGACATGAGTCAGTCTTTGAAGAATGGATAAGATTTGAGAAAGCAGTTTAGTGAAGAAAGAAGTAATCTATGCATGAAATTTGTAAATTCTTTCCAATTTATGATTGCATGTTCCCATATAACTTTATTTTCTTTTTCTTTAAATGTAGAAAATCATGTTGTTAAAGCTATGAATTTATCATAACAAGAGGCAATTGTTTTAGTATTTTACAGAAGTAGAAGAAAACAGAATTGACGTCGAGATTTTACGAATGGCAGTACATGACCAGGACTTGCCAAACACTCCTCACTCAAAGGCTGTCTACAAGATCCTACAAGGAAATGAAAATGGAAACTTCAAAATTAGCACAGACCCCAATACAAATGAAGCAGTCTTGTGTGTTGTCAAGGTAAACAACAACAAAACGATCAAGCAATACTTTAAAAAATACTGATGTACACTTGAGCATTGATATTTACATATCTATATACTACATACTATCTAGCTCTCTAGTAATTCTTGTATGTATATGACTAGAGAATTGCAATGCAATGCTGAAATGATTTACATTTGTTTACTTAAATGTTTTATTATTATTATTTTACCCTCATTTTTTTTCTTAGAAGATGGGCATTGCAGGCACAAAACACATTGTTCTCTGTACATGGGGAAAACCAAGGCAAAGAAATATTGTATTAGTAATCAAATATTAGTCTTAGAAGGAGTCTTAGACACCCACTTGTCCCTTATTTTATAGAACACAAGACAGAGAAAAATGGAAGAACCACTACTGGAAATCAAACCTCTAGATTTTTCAATTGCCTTCATGCTCATATTATACTTTTACTTCTCTATGAGGTATAAGACAGACTATTTATTAAATATTCAGCAGCTATTCCCATTAATCCTCCTATATTTGAGGTAGCCAGTGCTTTGGGATTTTAAACATTCAGTCGCAATTGCTAGTACCCAGAATGATAAACTGCATCTGATTCCTTTCTCCCTTCCAAGTACTAACCAGGCCTGAACCTGCTTAGCTTCGGAGATCAGACAAGATCAGGCGTATTCAAGGTGGTATGGCTGTAGGCACACCTAGTTCCTTTCAGTGTCCTTCTACCCATTGCCCTTACTAACCTCTGACATACTTTCCCTGATTAATTTCTTAGGGACAGTGTACTTTCTTAGAGGCTACATGCACAAGTTGTACTTTCCTCCTAAGATTTTTAAGAAAATGCCCTTTATTATATTGCTTATTCTTTCTCTCACTCACTCTCTTTTTCTTTTTCTTACTGGGGTTTTTTGTTTGTTTTGGGGGGTTCTAGATTTCTTTCCCTTGCTTTCCTTTTTTTGTTATCTTGACAGATTTCAGTCTCTTAATTGTTTAACCATTGTTTCAAGATTCTTTCTTATTCAGTTCAGGACTGAGCACTTTGATTAGGAGCTATACAACCTTAAATATAATCATTTAAAAAAAAACCCTAAATATAATATAAGATGCTACTAGATAGTATCACTATAATTTTTATGCATACATTCAGAGTAACTGCTCCATCATAACCAAATCTCATGTCCCAGTGGTCTAATTATTTTATATACTTCTTCTTATACTCTTTATATACTTCTGTTGTCTTAGTTATCACTGTTATCCCATTTGATAAATTTGGATTTATTCAAACACTTATTCTGTATTTCTATTAATATTTAAACTTGTAATGAAAAAAACTGAAGGCGGGACCTTCCCGAAGAAAAGTGACAAGAAAAATTGGTTAAATCGTCAACAGTTTTGCATTTGATAGTGCTTATCATTACAGGAAGTCAACTATTAGTCTTTAACTACATTAGCACCTGCTTTTGGTAACATTTTATACACAAAAATGATATTCCTTTTTGTGCTAAAACTTGGAATCGTAATTATAAGTCTTCTATATATAGTGTTACAAATTGACTGATTAAAGTATGTTTATTCAACAGCCATTGAACTATGAAGTCAATCACCAGGTTGTTTTGCAAATTGGTGTACTTAATGAAGCACAATTCACTAAAGCAGCAAATTCAAAAACTCCTACTATGTGCACCACAACTGTCACTGTTAAAATTAAAGACAGTGATGAGGGTCCTGAATGCCAACCTCCAGTAAAAGTTATTCAGAGTAGAGATGGCCTCCAACCTGGACTAGAATTGCAGGGATACAAAGCGTTGGATCCAGAAACACGCAGTGGTGAAGGCTTAAGGTAAGGTATTTTTCAAAATGACATATTTTGAGATTATGTCCACTCTTTGGTTTGAGCATTTACACTTGATTTCTAAAAATTAGGTATAAGAAGATAGGAGATGAAGATAACTGGTTTGAAATTAATGAACACACCGGTGACCTGAGAACTATAAAAGTGCTAGACAGAGAATCGAAATTTGTAAAAAACGACCAATACAATGTCTCCGTGGTTGCAATGGATACAGGTGAGCGCAATTTTCTAGAAATAGAGGATATATTTTTAAGGAAATCTTGGAGTGAACTTTGTTTACTTTCATATCAGAAGTTCATGCAAAACAGATTTGCATTGATTGCTCAATGTATTGGAGACCACCCAATGTCAGCTCCAGTTCATCAGTAATGCAAAACTAGGAAGTGAGGAATGGCCAAAGACATGGTGGCATCCTCCAGGATCTCCGTTTTTTTTTTTTTTAGGAGTACATATTTGGATTATTATGGTTTGAACTTGTTGAAAGGGTTTAGCCCTCCTAAAACAGTTGGGTTCAAGGTACGTCTGTTCTGAGCCTCTCTTAATGGGCTTATCCTATTTCCTAAGAAATGGTCAAAAGATGACTCAAGACTTTTGTGGTGGTTTGCAATCCTTCTCCAAGGTTAATCCTAGAAATTATCTTGTGAAGAAATGTCCTTCAAATGTCATAAAGTAGTAATTTCCAAATCCTTTTGAATGTGCACTTCTTGCAGCCATTTTTGAATGTGGACCATTACAATGGGCTACAGTGTATGCCTGACAGCTTTGTTTGTTTTGTAATGCAAGTGCCTGCCTGACTTAAGCTTTGATTGCTAAGGCTTCAGCTTCAAAGATGGCTATCTGGAATAAACATTGCCAAGCAGACTAGAAAATGATCCAGATCAAGTCACAATAGCCGTACCATCCCAAGCTCCTTTGTTTTAGAGACTTGCTTGATTTCAGTAACTGACCCCTGGGGCCACTGGTTTTTTTCACTTCCAAGCTCTTTAAATTTCTACTCTTATGTCTTAAATTCACCAGTAAAGAGTGAGCTCGAGAAACCCTCAGCCCCCACTCTTGACCCCAATAAAAGCAGTATCCCAGGCTTGTTTTTTTTCTCCCTGCCCCGCACAACCTCGCTGTGTGGCCCCGGGAGTGCCATGTAATTTCCAGGATATGTAAGTAATAAACCTTTTCCCCCCCAAAGTTTCCTGATGGTTGGGACACCGTGCAATCATATAAGAACCACAAGGGCCAGTCTAGCCACAAAATTGTTTATCTACAGGCTGAGAGCGACACACAGCAACCTCCTTATATTTACTAGTATGTTTGTATACATGTGCTACTAGGCTAATGTATGCACCATAAAAATGCACAAACAAGCACTTGTAAAGTACTATTTCCATGTGCCAAAAATATCTAGTTTTCAAAATCTAAAAGAAAAACTAAATGACCTTCCCTTCCTCTTGATACCTCTCACACAGACTTTTAATGTAGTTCTTTCAATATAGGTAGGAAAAAAAACTACTAAAGAATGGAGAAAACATTAGCTGAGATATATAGTTAATGTTGTGGCCACTCTAAAACCCTGGATGATTTGCTACTCCTGTATAAGCAGAAGTGAAAGCTGAATGGTTTAAAAGCACAATTATGATGTCAAAGAAGGATTTACATTTACTCATTTATTTCACAAATGTTGATAGTCTAGTAAGTTCCCAGTACTCGGCAAATCACCATGGAAACTAGAATTCAGAAGACAAGGCCAAATTCTCATATGATATGAAAGAAAGGATTACTATATTCTCCTAAGAGGTTCTTGGTATGACCACTTTCCCCATAAAAGATTGTATGGCTATCATAAGAAGTAGAAATTAGTTAAGAGCTGCCCCGATTAAAGGATAAAGGCGAGTTTCACATAAATGAGGAAGCTTAGCTAGCGATAGGAAAATGAAATACTATTTGAAGAGAAGGAAAATACAGAGAATAGAAATATAAGAAATTAACTTTGTCTTTTGTTGCTAAAAATACAAGGAAATGAAATGCCAAATCTATAAGAATCTATGCCCCAGGCTCATGGATAACCTAGGTGTGCTCACGAAGAAGTAAAGACATGGATGTTATAGACATTTTAATGTAAGACCACATGGTGACATCAATGCTTTTGTGTAGTTGAACTTTAATCCATTAATATATACTTCCAAGGACCAAATATATAAGTATTTACTTATGTTTCCACATGAACGTTTAGTTTTGGTGCTCATAAATATTTCAAGATTATGACCTAGACTTTCTTCTAGCTTTCTTCTAATCCAATTTCTTTACTTCTGTTTCTTCTGTCAGTCTTCTTTGTCAAGCAGACTGGTTTCCCTGCTGTCACTCTAGAAAGCACTGTTTTATTTATTTTTATTTTTATTTTTAAGATTTTATTTATTCATTTGAGACAGAGATACTGAGAGAGAGAGAGCGAGAGAAAGCATGAGCAGGGAGAGAGGCAGAGGGAGAGGGAGAAGCAGGCTCCGTGCTGAGCCAGGAACCCGATGTGGGGCTCGATCCCAGGACCCCAGGATCACGACCTGAGGCGAAGGCAGACGCTTAACCATCTGAGCCACCCAGGCGCCCCTAGAAAGCACTGTTTTATGCACCTTCTGCCTAGTACAGCACTGCCCCTCCTGTTTGAAATTCAGGTCCCTTAACTTCTTCAAATGAATGACAGTGACATCTTCTATGACTGTTTCCACTCGTCTGTGTTTAGTTCTTCTCTTAATACCTCTTAAGTCTCCCTTCCCTGGGTATGATATAGTAATTATCACAAGTAATGTATCTTTTCTATAAAAGGGTGTTTCATTGCTTCTCATTTATATCACGTTCCTCTAAGGAATTCTGTTAATTAACTCACATCTTTGTTAGTTTGCTGATTTTGAAGTTGTTACTTGTATTCAAATTTATCTACAAATTTCTGGCAGTATCAAAATGTTTATATCCTATTGCAGATTTCTTATTAGAAGAGCTGTATCTCTCTTTTATTTCTAGATATTGTGAAATTTGTTCAGATAGAATAATTTTTAAAGAGGTATATAAAATAGTGGCCTTTTATGAAGTAACTTAAAAATAACTTTTAATAAATTAATTTTGTAGTTATTCAACAGAAAATCAGCACTGAAATATACTCCAAGATATGACTTAAGTGTTATTTCAATTAGCAATAATCGTGCCTTGGATAAACCTCATTGGCTACGAGACTGCCACTGCGCAAAGCTTAAGTGTTATTTCAAATTAAAAATGGATTATATTTGCATATGATTTATAGTGGTCTTTATGATAAATGCTGAATTTATCTAATGCTCCAAATTTAGACCAGCACTCAAAGCAAAAAAATGAGAAACCGTATCAATTATTTTTCTGTTTATTTCAATTTTGAAAGGTTACCATTTATTGTAGTTTATTATCTTCTCACAAATGGTAAAATTTAGACCTGTTTTTTGAACTTCATTATCTCTTAAACACAAATATTGGGCAATATTTTCATTAAAGATATTGAGACTTATGGTGTAAAGCATTAGGCCAGTAACAGTGGCCATCTGGAGATGAGTAATAGCTCCTAGGCCAAAAACATATTTATTGAATTAGGGAGGGGGTGCAAACTTATTTTTATGGTTTATTCAACTAAGTCTTTTGTAAAGTATAAAATAGTAATTGCATTATGTTCAAGGTGTTAGTATGAAGTTGTAAGTTACCCAAGAAATGCAAGGCAGATCATTCGGCTCTCAAGATAAACATGACTTAGCTCTTAGGACGAACAGGTTCACAGTCCAGTGTGTGAGACGGTGATGAGCAAAGTGTTCTGAGAAATCAAAGGAGAATATTGCTGCCATTGTCCATAGATGTCACGGCAAGTTTCAAGAGGAGTTATCTGGTGGATTCTTGAAGGATAACAAAGTATTACCAGGCAAAGCGAAAGAGAAAAGTAGTCCCAGCTGTGGCAACAAAATGTACCAAAGCAGACAGCAAAAAGTGCACCTAGTGGGTTTGATGAGAGGTTTTACAAAGTTCGAGCAAAGAATAGGTGAGGAAATGAGTCAGAAGAGGAAGTCAAAGGAAGTGACTGATGACCAAATGTGAAGTCTTTGTATATTCAAGATGGATATATGCTCTTCACAAAGAGATCTGTAAGAAATTTATTTTCAAGTGGCTATTCTGTAATGACATTGCTCATAATCTCATGCTTTTTCATTTATAAAGCACCTCAAGATAACATCTGATAGAGCCATCAATCTTCAGGGAAGAGTGACATGTCACTATTTTGTATTTGTAGCAATGGTATTTGTGATCCAAAAGTGTGTGAAAATCAAGTTCAGACAGCCACTAGAAAGCAGATGTCAGCTGTGTATCACAGAGATGTTGAAAATCAGTTTTTAAGCAAAGAAATATCCTATTTTTTATTTTTCTTAGATGGCAGATCTTGCACAGGAACATTAGTAGTTCTTTTGGAAGATTATAATGATCATCCACCACAAATTGATAAAGAAGTGACAATTTGTCAGCATGCTAAGGATTATGCTGTTCTGGAACCTGTAGATGCTGATGGACCCGAGAATGGTCCACCTTTTCAATTCTTTCTGGATAATTCTGCCAACAAACTTTGGAATTTAGAAACAAAAAATGGTATGTAATTATGCTTAATCTTCTAATCAGTGGGAACTTAAGATGGCTGATGGTTTTGACATTCACCTTAGTTCATTATGATGTACATTCATTTTAGGAAATTTTTTTATTGAACCCCCCAAAAGGATAGTACCTTGTTTTTTTTAAAAAGCTCTTGTTAGCATTTAATGAATCTCCCTCCCCATGGCTTCAAGCTACCAGGACACAGACCTACCCCACACCCTGCCACCACACACACACACACACACACACACACACACACACACACACACTCTTCTCCTCCACTCTTCCACTGAAGAATCTGACCTTCAAGATGGCAGGCTGTTTGGGGAGCTTTCCTTCTCCAAAACTTCGCAGTAGCTGGGGTGCAGCACATCAGTGATAGGAGCAGCTTCAGTTTTGTTTTGGGCAGCATTTACCCGTGCCTGCTCACTGCCCTAGGTCCACAATTTGTCAAGGTCGACAGTTGGGCAAAAGCTCTGGTTCCTCTTTAAGTGGTAATGCCTCATACTAACTTTTCCAAAGTGACCTAGGTGATACTGGTCAAAGTTGATCCGGCGGTGACTCATGCATGCCACCAGCATCACCCCCGCCTCCTGGGCGCTTCCTGTGTTAGCCCATGCGGCTGTGGCCGTGGCTCACGTGGCCCCCGAAGTTTCTGGGTTTTCCTCAGTCTGGACGGCATGTTGGCAGCCCAGACAAAAGAGCAATACCTTACCTTTTAAAAGCAATGGATAATATATTTATGTTTAGACTCTTGTTCCAAATATCTTTTAAGAAAACACATCAATCCATTTTAGTATAGTATTTGAGTAATGTTAAGTATAGATTAGTCTAATGTAAGTGTAGAACAATATTTTTTTTTTAAAGATTTTATTTATTTATTCATGAGAGACAGAGGGAGACAGAGGGGGAGAGAGAGAGAGAGAAGCAGAGGGAGAAGCAGGCTCCCAAGGAGCAGGGAGCCCGATGTGGGACTTGATCCCAGGACCCTGGGATCATGACCTGAGCCAAAGGCAGATGCTTAACCATCTGAGCCACCCAGGCGCCCCAGTGTAGAGCAATATTAATTCATTTTCCTGGTTTTTCAGGAAATCAAAATCATTTTTAAAAAATAAAAATGAGGGGCACCTGGGTGGCTCAGTAGGTTAAGCATCTGTTGGACTTTTGATTTCAGTTCAGGTCATGATCTCAGGGTTGTGAGATTGAGCCCTGTTTTGGGCTCCATCCTGGTCATGGAGTTGCCTTAGGATTCTCTCTGCCCCTCCTCTTTCTCCGTCTCTCCCTCTCAAAAAAGAAAGAAAGAAAGAAAAAAGAACCACTAGAGTTTTTCCTTTAAGCTAAATTCTGCACCTTCAACTCCCCACCCTACCCCAAGCATACCAAGTAGGAATAATATTGTGATTGAAAGGTCATATCAATATACATTCTGTCTTTTTTTTTTCTCTAGGTAAAACTGCCATTCTTCGTCAGCGGCAAATTCTTGATTATAACGAATATAATGTGCCTATCACAATAAAAGATAGACATGGTTTAAATGCAAGACACATGTTAATGGTGAGAGTATGTGACTGTACAACCCCATCTGACTGTAAAATGAATTCAAAAAATGTGAGAGATGTTAAGCCAAACGTAATACTTGGAAGATGGGCTATTCTTGCCATGGTGTTGGGTTCTGCATTGCTGTTATGTAAGTATAATTATCTAGAATGTGTTAGTTGAAGGCTTATTTAATATTTAAAATATATATATGGTAGTTCTTTATTTAATGACCTTTATAGTCTTTGGTAAATGTGCCCTTTAAATGTGTCCTTTTAAAACTCTTGTGTGTACTATGTGACTGAGGGTTTCAATTCACAGAAGAAACATATCAGTAAGAGCAGATTAAATTTAAACTAATTTTCAGAGGTGTACCCTTAGTTCTTCCATTAGAAGGTGTGAGACACTGGATAGATCATTTCCTCTTCTTTGAGCTCATTTTTCCACAAGTATAATAAAGAGGTTGGTTAAGATTCCTTCCCATACAAAACATAGTCTTTTAACCACCAAGTTTATGCACAGGAAGAATTAGTGAAGAGTACTTACAAAATTCACATAGTTTATGCTCACTGTTATTAATGAACGGATTTAACATACATTTTTTTTAAAGATTTTATTTATTTATTTGACAGAGACAGACAGAGAGAGAGGGAACACAAGTTGGGGGAGTGGGAGAGGGAGAGGCCGGCTTCCCACCGAGCAGGGAGCCCGATGGCGGGGCTTGATGGTGGGGCTCGATGGCGGGGCTCGATGGTGGGGCTCGATCCCAGGACCCTGGGATCATAACCTGAGCCGAAGGCAGCTGCTTAACCAACTGAGCCACCCAGATGCCCTGATTTAACATACATCTTAAGAAGACTCCAATGAAGCATGACTGGCTGGCTCAGTCAAAAGAGCACACAACTCTTGATTTCAGAGTTGTGAGTTTGAACCCCACGTTGGGTGTAGAGTTACTTAAAAATAAATAAATAAACTTAAAAAAGAAGGAAAATTGGAATTCTAAAAAAAAAAAAAGACTCCTGTTAGTGGAAAATGGTCATATGGTGAGCCACTGAGGAAAACATTACATGCAAAGGATGTTAAGATTTTGCGTTCTGCAAACTTTTTTTCAAGATGCAAAAGTGATGGAAATCATTGCCCACACTTCTTTCATCTCTCCTTCCCACTCACCTTTCTTTTTCAATAATTTATTTGACTACAGAACCTATTTGCATTTACAGACTTTCCCCATAGTCTTTACTGTGTCCTAATGCATTGATTTGAGTTTCAGGTAAAACTGGACGTTCCCCTTAGCACGGTGATTACACTTTCAAAACTGGGCACAGATTTTATGTAACTGCCTTTCATGTTTGTATTTATGCCTAATGCCCTTTGAGTGTGTGTTCTACATGTATGGATTTGAGTTATCAATAATACTAGCTTAAATTTCAATCAAAGGGAGTTACTATTTCAGTGTGGAGGAAATAAGAGAAACATTTAAGTTAATTCTGGGCTTGGGAGGACACCTATTAATAAACTATGCTCACTTCATCCTTCTTACTTTTAATTGATCTTTTTCTCATTTAGCCTAGTAACATAATCTCAATAAGACAGAGATGGTCTATATACTAATACATTTGTTAATATTCTGTTTTAAATTTCATGACCCAAAGGGATCTTAATTTATAGAACAAATTCTTTAAAGTTCTGTGAAGAAACTTTTAAAATATCATGATTTAAATGATATACACCAACATGAAAAAATGCTATTTTACTTAAATACTTTTTTATTTTTTAGGTATTCTGTTTACTTGTTTCTGTGTTACTGCTAAGAGAACAGTAAAGAAATGTTTTCCAGATGTAGCCCAGCAAAATTTAATTGTGTCAAACACTGAAGGACCCGGAGAAGAAGTGATGGTAAATTAGATTTCACTTTCGTACGAATTGTGTGGTGATCCAATGATAACAGCTGATTATTATATAATAATAGTAATAATAATAACAACTAATGTTTATTGAGCACTTACTATGCCAAGCAGAACTCTACCTGCTCTGCATGCATTAACTTTTTTTTTTTAAGATTTTATCTATTTATATGAGAGAGAGAGCAAAACAGAGAGAGCACAGGTGGTGGGGAGGGGCAGAGGGAGAAGGAGAAGCAGATTCCCTGCTGAGCAGGGACCCCAACGTGGGGCTCGATGCAGGGCTCGATCCCAGGACCCTGAGATCATGACCTGAGCCAAAGGCAGACGTTTTATCAACTGAGCCACCAGACATCCCTGGGTTAACTCATTAAACTTCATAATTCTATTGTATTAGTTTCATAGGACTGCAAAAAATCACAAACTGGTAGTTCCTTGACTTAGGGCAGCATAAATCAGATCTTCATATGGCATTCTTCTCCCTGTGTGCATGTCTGTGTCCAAATTTCACCTTACCCACCCTGAGTGTGGCCTTATCTTAATTTAACTAAATACATATGTAATGACCTATTTTCAAACAAGATCACATTCTAAGGCATTGAGGGTTAGGGCTTCAACATAATGAATTTTGATGGGAAAGAAATGAAAGGAAATTGTTAGTTTCAATTTGATTCACTCATTTTATAACTCTACCTTTATTTTTAGGAAGCAAATATTAGACTCCCCACACAGACATCCAACATTTGTGACACAAGCATGTCTGTTGGCACTCTTGGTGGCCAAGGAGTCAAAACACAGCAAAGCTTTGAGATGGTCAAAGGTGGCTACACTTTGGATTCCAGCAAAGGAGGTGGACATCAGACCTTGGAATCTGTCAAGGGAGCAGGACAGGGAGTAATGGAGCCTGGCAGATACACATATACCGACTGGCACAGCTTCACCCAACCTCGGCTTGGCGAGGTGAGTGCCAATGTCTTCGAGTTCTTATTCCATGAAAGTTAAAAATGATTTATAAATCAGGATTTCCCAAAAGTTTTACTCCTCAGGCATGTGGAACTCATCACCTTTTGAGTCTTTAATTATCATAGATATAGATTTCAGGCCCAAGCCCAAAGGGAAAAATGATCTTTCCAAGTTTAATTTTTAAAATAAGGTTTACAAAACTGCACAGCTATCTAGGAATGGCATATGTATACATGTTTAGGAAGTGTAAGAAGACTGGTAGCTTCTTCTGTAAAAATTACCAGGAAAATCACCTGGAATGAAAGATTTGTATAGAGTGATGCATGGATCATAATTTATAAACATTTTTTAGTGTACTGAATCCTCTGTGTAGTTATGAAGGCCTGGCTATCAACATTAACCAGACAGACTGTTCAGATTTTATTTTGGGTTTTAGTTCCTTGTTTTAGGTTCAGATTAATCAATATTGGTTATTATTAGCCAGTTGAATATATTACATTATTGTCACTATATAACTGTATATAAACAGAAGCCTATATTGGTTCCCCCAAATATGTAAAGAAGCTGAAAAGATACATTGGAACTATACAGATCTTATGTTCAAATGGGAAATTGTAGGTTAGCTTTGTAATATATGTGTATTTTTAATTTTCATAAATGTGTTCACTAGGAGCATTTATATATCTGCTATATTTTCAGAATGAATATAATACAGACCAATCATGTGCATTTTTTATATGTAGGAATCCATTAGAGGACACACTCTGATTAAAAATTAAACAGTAAAAGGTAAATCAAAGACATTATTTTTATGCTAATATGTTTAGGTGTCTTTAAAAAAATAATAAAATGTGCTCTTTTTTGATACAGAAGGTGTATCTGTGTGGACAAGACGAGGAGCATAAACGTTCTGAAGACTACGTGCGTTCGTATAACTATGAAGGAAAAGGGTCTATGGCCGGCTCTGTAGGCTGCTGCAGTGATCGGCAGGAAGAAGAAGGGCTTGAGTTTCTAGATCATCTGGAACCCAAATTTAGGACGCTAGCAAAGACATGTGTAAAGAAATAAATGTGTTTTAACAGAGAAACATCTACAAATGCATATGTAGGAATTTACTGAATGTAAAATGATAGCAGCATCTGCTAATATGTTTGTTTATTGGAAGTAAACTTTGAGTCATGTATAGGTAAGGGTACTATAAATACAAAGCTCCCCTAAATTCTCCTCGTCTGATATAACTTCCTATTCGCTAGAAAGAAAAGTTTCATGTGTTAATTTTCTTTTATATGCATGTATATATTGCCCTTTCCAGGACTCTACCAATGTGCGTTCTTGCATCTTCTGTTTGAAAACTTACATTACTCTCTATGCTATGAAAGTGTGTGGTGGGAGAGCTGGGTATTGTCGAGGCTAATGAAAAATGAATTTTAATTTGATATGAAAATTACATATTTTCTTCAAAATTCTGGGGAGATTGCTCTTAGAAATATTCTTAGAAATATCGTCTTTGGTGCCAGAGAATTGATTCTTCTACCTGAGTGGCTATGTATTGAAGGACTTTTAAGTATTCTTTGGTGCAGTCTTCAATTTGGTAAATAAGTATTCATTTCTCACTGCACTTTTCACACTGCAGAGGTGCTCCCAGCACTGTTTGCTTTCAGGAGCCTTCAGCGCTCGGTCCTTGGATCTCTGCCCATATGGATGCATAATCAGGTTCCAGCTTCTATGTTTGTTGGAAAGGCATGGACCAGAACAAGCCCACAATAATGTGAGCCACAGAGATTTTGTAAGGATCGAATGGGAGGATTTCCAAGAAAGAATTGTAACCTTGATGCCCATGGTTGACTTAGACTCACAAATATGTTTCGTTTGCCCACCAGGATGTACTATTACCTTTTTAAAATATAAATACCTTGGCAAAAACATGCACTGTCTTAGTTTGACAGAGGCCCACCATCTTCAAGCATTTGTGAAACCAGCCTGGCAAGCATTAGACTTGCAATCCTGATCCACGGTGCTTAGCCTTTAAAATATGCTAAAAATGGAATGAGCAACCATATTGGAATTGAATACTCTGCCTACCTTGGTAATTACTTTAAGAAAATGGAAAGTCAAAAATAACAAATTTCTAGCATGTAAATGTTAAAACATGGAAATCTATGAAAGCAACACTTAACCAAACAATTGTTGAATGATGGATAAATGAATGAACATATGAGTTAATAAATTATTTTGAATGTATAACATTTAAATAGGATATTATATTGTATTAAAATAGAAAGAAGCTATATATTTAATATTTTAATAGTCTTTTGTGCCAAACTCTCTAAATTTATAGACAATAACAGTATATATCACATAGAAATTTCTCATTCAGACCAAATAACTCTTTCATTTTCTTTATTAGCTAGTAAACTATTGAAAAGAGTGGTTGATTTTTCCAAATTTTGTAATTATTCTTCTTATTCTCAATTACAGCTTCTGATTAAAGCTGTTTCTTGATGTGAAATTGGATATTAGAACAGAATACAAAAGTAGTTTTAATAAATAAATATTTTATTTTATAGGATGTCCACAATGTATGATTTTTATAGCAATTGTGAGTAAAATAATTTTGGGGCATTAATGCAATTTCTGTTGTCTGAGGTATACATTACTCTGACAATGGTACCTGTTTAGAAATCTTTAAGTATAATATTAAAAATTTGGAAATAAATCATGCCATGTTATATTCTCGAATGTAGATGCAGAACATTTTCTGAGCAATTAAAAACCATTAGCTGAACATTAACTTATATGTTTGTTTATGTTTTCATTTCTTATATTCACTTAAATAGGAAAGAGAAATTTTATATCTGAACATAAAGTACAACTAAAGGCTTAAGGTTAGCAAAATAAGACACTCTAAAAGTATTACAAGAATTGTTAGAAAGTATGGAAAATGGATTTGTATTAAGCAGTTTTGGCTATTTTAAATATTTTCAAATATTATTACAATTTATCTTGCAAAGGAACTATGATTTGTCTTTTATTTAGGAAATCCACGTTCTCTGTTTACACTCAAAATTAAATGTTGTTTGTATGACTGATAAGATTTATGAAACTCCACTGGCCTGTTTACCAATTTAGTTTGTTAATAAAGCATTTTATATTTTTATGGATTATTTCATATAAGTTAATCATCAATTGTCAATAAATAAGTCATTATGAATTGTTCTTCTGTAATTAAATCTATAGTTAGGGAAAATATACAATTAAGCTTTTCTTATCTTGATTCAGATCTCAAAAGTATTTCATGTTGAAAAAAATCCCATGGGCACACTAAGATAGATGAAAATTGATACAATTATTATAAATTAGCTTTGTTAAATACCTCTTTAACTTTACTGAGCTTTCAATTCTCATGTTTATTAAAAATATTTTATAAAAGTTGTTATCTATGCTTATGTTTACTTTTAAAAAATGGAATATGCTGTTATTTGGAAATTGTTCACAATAGATGTTTTAGAGTTGAGGATTTTTATTATCATAGAAAAGAAAAGCAAACTCCATTTTGTGGTGTCTTAGCTTTAAAAGCCCTGTACCAGTTGAAAATCCTCAATTAGATTAGGGTAACAAAACAAAACAGATTATGTATATTTCTGCATGTCTCTGGTCTCTTATCTGCTTTTCTAATAAATCTGAAGGAACACTGCATTTGTCTTTCTACTTACACAGGGAAAAGAAAGAGCAGAACGCGTTACTAAGAATGGATAGACCCTTGTATATTTTGTATGGTTCAGGAAAATTAAGTGAGCATAATTTTTAAAAACTCTTTGAAAGGATAGTGTTGCATGAAAAAAATAATAAAAATCACAGTCTCAAATCCTTATCACTAACAATAAAATAACCACATTCAAATATACGAATAAACTATATTAAGAAGCATCATAGAAACAAATATGTTAAGTACATTCATAACACATTTTGTAAAGATTGATCGAATTATTTTAAAGTCTTCAGTGTTGAAGAACAAAAATTTAACTGAATAGATTTGAAGATGTAATTGGCTTTACTCAAGGACTCACGAATCTACCAGCATCCCCTCTAGTAAACAGACAGGCTCTCTGAGGAGAGGAGCGGTGCAAAAATGAAAGGTTTTTATAGCAGAAGGAGGGGGTGAGGGGAGAAAGTCATTAGCAAAAGAAAAGAAAGGATTGTTTTGGACCAGGCATTATTATGCAGATTATCTCACTGATGCTGATCAGGAAATTTCAGATTGACTTTTGAAAGGTCACACTTCTGGGAGAGTCTGAAACTACAATTAAATCATGGATTGCTGTCCTGGGGGCAAATGACTCCATTTTGGGCCTGTTGTTTCTTTCCCAACACTATTTAAAGTAACTTTTTTGATTGATAAGAATAAAATGCCCTTTGATAAAGCCAATCTACGGTTAGAAGTTGTTTGTTTCCAAACTGTAGAGAAAAACAATTAGAAATGAGTGTAGACTTCCTCTATATTTGGCCCAACATTTTTTTTTTTTTTTTTAAGATTTAGTTATTGGGGCGCCTGGGTGGCTCAGTCGTTAAGCGTCTGCCTTTGGCTCAGGTCGTGATCCCAGGGTCCTGGGATCCAGCCCCGCATCAGGCTCCCTACTCAGCGGGAAGCCTGCTTCTCCCTCTCCCACTCCCTCTGCTTGTGTTTCCTCTCTCTCTGTCAAAAAAAAATGAATAAAATCTTAAAAAAAAAAAAGATTTAGTTATTTATTTGCGAGAGTGCGTGCTAGCAAGCGCATGCATGAGCAGGGGGAAGGGCAGAGGGAAAGGGAGAGAATCCTCAAGCACACTCTGCTTGCCGTGCAGAGCCCCACATGAGACTTGATCCCAGGACCCTGAGACAACATTTTTAACATTTAGTTGTCGGTGTGCAATAATTAATACCTGTAATTTTGGAGTGTTCTTATTTGCCTATGTTTAGGGACCTTTAAATGCTATAACATGGAATTATTAATGTTAAAAAGAAACTTCAAGGCTTCCTTTGAGATAGCTGAGGTTTTACCTAGAATTCATACTAAAAATTCCTGTAGCATTATTTTCTGCCAGAACTCTGTAATCCAAAGTGGAAATGAAAGAATTCCCTTGCTTTGGCTTTGCCTCTCCTCATGTATTTAGAAAGCTGAGGGGACGCCTGGGTGGCTCAGTTGGTTAAGCGACTGCCTTCGGCTCAGGTCGTGATCCTGAAGTCCTGGGATCGAGTCCCGCATCGGGCTCCCTGCTCGGCAGGGAGCCTGCTTCTCCCTCTGACCCTCTTCTCTCTCGTGCTCTCTATCTCTCATTCTCTCTCTCTCAAATAAATAAATAAAATCTTTGAAAAAAAATTGAGGAATTAAGGGTAGATGACATTTATATAGCTTATTTATATATAATTTAAAATCCAAATTCACAAAGACATTTCATCCATAGTAGGTATTCTACAAGATGGATATGTTACTGTCTATACCCTCTATATTTCTCACCTGTCTGAGATCTATGCTGAAATTCTACCAAGTGGTTCTTGAAATGTGATTGCTGGACCAGCAGCATCAACATCACAAAGGAACCTATTAGAAAGGCTAATTTTGAGGTCCCTCCCCCAGATCCATTAGATAGGAAACAGGGAGGGTGAGACCCTCTTGGCATTGCTAAGGTATCAAATTTACCTCAGTACTAGCTCTTGGCTACTCTGCGTTGTTTACACTACCTGAGAGCTTGGGAGGAAAGTGGATTCAGACTCACCCCCAGACCTACTGAATCAGAACCTGCATTTCAACAAGATCCCCAGGAGATCTACCCACACAGGAAACTTTGATTAGCCTCTTGTAGTTGATCCTTTGAGAGGAACCTGCAAAAACTAATATGTGAACAACACAATGAGCCAATGAGAGTAGGTGACACAAGTAGCCTCAGGCAGCAGGTTTGTGGCTACCATCCGGGAGGAAAATTGCCCCAGTTCACCTTGTGGCCTAAATTCAAGCCAGCTTGCCTCTCACCACCCAAAAGCTGACCCTCCCACTCTGTGTTCTGTACCTGGATAATTGACTGTGAACTTTATACCTAAGAGTGCCTTGCATTGGAGAGTATACAATGACACATAAGGTAACCAAATTTAGGTAGATGACATGTTCATTGTCACTTTACTTAGTAAATTTATTTTGCTAACCCACAATTTTAAAAAATCACATTTTGATAGTAATTATTTTTGATCAAGCTTATCCAATTAATCTACCAAATCATGTTTAAAAATCAACCTGAATAATCCTGATAGTTTAAGCAAGACACAGTTTCCTGATTTCATTTTGGCAAATAGGTGTCTTGATGTATTCTTTCTGACTGAGCCAATTTATCCCCACGTACATTTCTAACGTTTCATTTTTCTGGGCGTGGCTGACTTTGAGTATTATAGGTGTGGCTGAGAACCTGTCAGAACCAGTGGTGATATATTAAGTAACGGAAGTCTGTCATGATTATTTCTTTTAATTTCAGACTGGGTAGAAGAAAGTTAAGACAAATTTTCAGAGTTGTTTTAATTTTATATAGTACATTATCAATATTAACTATATATAGTACCCTAGAAATATAGAATATAATTATTAAATATGTCAAATATTAACTAGTAATATTAAATACTAATTTGATATTGATGCTTTTATTAAATATATTTGAAGTTAAACATTAAGAAGATTGTTGACACAAACACATGGCCCTTGGTATTTTGTGAGGGTGATGGCAGAGACTGCTGGCTGTCTACATACTATCTCCTAACTTAGTTCTTCATTAGAGATGGAGCTCTGATTTCATTCGGGTTGGCTACGTGCCTCACTGAGAGACCACTATTTCCCAACCCCCTTGAACCAAGTGTCACATGCCCTAAATTCTGGCCAGTGAGAAGTGAAATGCTGTGTATAAGATTTCTGAGTAGGTGTCTTAAAGGTGTCTTAAAGGAGCTGATTCAGCTGGAAGAATTTTTTTTCTTCTCCCAATTTTTTTTTTTTTTTTTTACGTAAGTTCTACACCAAACGTTGGGCTTGAACTCACAACCCCAAGATCTACTGACTGAGCCTTCCAGGTACACTTCCTTCCCCCAATTGTATTTCATGATGTCTAGAACACAGATGTGATGCCCTGTGCTCAAGCAATCCTGTTGTGAACTTCAGAATGGAAGCCACATTTGTTGAGAATGGAGGAGCATAAAGATAGAAGGAGGCTGGATCCCTGATAACTTTGTGGAGCCTCCAAATATGCCCTGGATTTCCTACCTCTAGACTTGTTTACTCGAGTGAAAAATCTTTGTGGGTTTAAGCAATGAAATTTTAGGTTTTGCATTAAATGTAGCTGAATCTTATTTGATATAGGGAGAGAACAGAGACTGAATGGAAATAATTGACTTACCTAAACATGATTCAATAAACTTGGGAACTCATTTTCTTTTGGCTAAGATTTTAAAAATGGATAGACCTGAAGACATTTCAGTGTTTTCTTTCCTTTTTCTTTCTTTTTTGACAGAGAGAGCATGCTCACAAGTGGGGGGAGGGGCAGAGGAAGAATAGGAGAGAGAAAATCTCAAGTCGACTCCAAGCTGAATGCAGAGCCTGAGCAGGACTCGATCTCAGCACCAGGAGATCATGACCTGAGCCGAAATAGAAGTCTGTCACTTAACCAACTAAAGCCGCCCAGATGCCCCAAGACATACATTTTTATTTTTTATTTTTTTAAGTTTTTATTTATTTATTTGATGGACAGTAAGTGAGAGAGAGGGAGAGAGAGAGAGAGCATGAGTAGGGAGAAGGGGTGGAGGGAGAAGCAAACTCTCCACCGAGCAAGGAGCCTGATGTGGGGCTCGATTCCAGGACCCTTAGATCAGGACCCGAGCCGGAAGAAGATGCTTAACCACCCAGGCACCCCAAGACACACATCTTTAAATGTTGCATACTACTTCTACCACTTCATCCTCTGTTCCTCTGAACAGTGTGATCAAACTGATATGTTCCCTTAAGTCTGAAAGAGTCAGTATTTTGTTCCACTCTAATAGCCTGAGGCATACTCTCATTTTTCAATTAATTAATATATAGGTAAATAAAATTTATTTTCCTATTTAGCCAATGAATTTCTATCATAATCTGAAACTGTTCTTATGCCAACTCAAATAGACTTGAAAATGAGTAAAGCTGTGTTTGACAAACACAGGAAATTACAGAGGTTTCAGCATGTGACAAAGAAGACAATGTTATGGTTTTGGTGTATGACAAATGGTGATTCCATATGCTAATAAACTCAGTTGGATTTCTGCTTTTTTACATTAGTGGCTATATAAAAATGCATTTTAAAAATTACCTCAGTGAATTGGCTAGGACTTGCCTTAGAGCATTTGGTAACAGAAATAAAGTGGCTTAGACAATGTAAAAGCTTATTTTCACTAATGTAAAACAAGCTCAAAATCTTGGACTTGTATGGATGCTGGTTTTTTGGTTTTTGTTTTGTTTTGTTTTTTTACTGTTTTTAAAAACATTTATTTTAGAATTGCCATGAAGGGGAAGTTTTACAGATTTGAATCCATTAAGTCTAAACATTTCTCCAGGGGAAGAGATATCCAAAACTAAGGCATAAAACAAATAAGTAAATCAGGAAAAAAAATAAGCATTTGTGAGAGACAATACATTACCATTAATAATATACTAATGAATTTCATAAATTGATATGAAAATAGTAAATTACTAAGTAAAATGGGCAAAAAATATAAACAGATCTTTCACAGAAGAAAGGACAGTTAAATTTCAAAATGAAAATATTCTAATCTCACCGATAGATTTAAAGCAATGAAAAATTAAACATCTGTTTACTACTATATTTCTTTCATTCAAATTAAATGATTTTTAAAGTACGTATGTTCAGGAAAAATTATGGAGAAATAGAATCTCTCATAAATTACATCTGCAGGCTAAGGTGTAGCCGTCAAATGTTTTGAAAAAAAATTATGAATACGTTGCTATATTCAAATCAAGACATTTTACCCAAAATGTAAATTTGTGACTTCTTTTGAAAAATTGACAGTTCTAGTCATATTCCCAAAGTCTACCAGTTGGCTGGAAGTGCAAAGTGTCATTCAGTGCCCTCTGCCAAAGCCAGCGCCCTCTGAAGCTTGCCCTTCATGTCTCAGACAGGAAGGCTTCAATTATCATTTATTAGGACATTTGTACTCTTTCTTTCCTTCCTTCCTTCCTTCTTTCCTTCCTTCCTTCCTTCCTTCTTTCTTTTTAAACATGGAATGCTTCATGAATCTGCGCATCATCCTTGCACCGGGCCATGCTACTCTTCTCTGTATTGTTCCAGTTTTCGCACGTCTGCTGCTGAAGCCAGCACTGTACTATTATTTTCTGAAGGTAGGTTTAAGAGGAGAAAAGAAACGGGTTTTCTGTACTTTTATTTTTTCAAAACAATTTCAGAATAACTTAAAAGGGCTGCTTTTTTCAACCAACGTGACTTCTTTATCTTGATTTCTTTCCTGACCCCTGCAGGCATTGACGTTTGTAGCTACTTGCGCTACATGAGTTTCAATATAAAATGAATTATGTTGCCATTTGGCATACAATATACTTGACTTCTTCCCTGTGTTCATTGCTTATTGTTTTACACCCGCATTGGAGTGTAAGCTCCATCAGAATGGTGCACAGCACATAAAGGGAACTCAATAAATATTTTTTGAAGGAATTTATTGAGTACCTACCATGCACAAGCATTCCAGAACGCTCTTTTCACAAATATTATCTCATTGAAAATATTAACAACATACTTCCAATTTAAGCATTATTGTTCCTATATACTAATAAGAAAACTGATGCAGATAGAGGTTAGCTGACTCAAATAAGCTCAGACTGCTAGGTTTCCAGAGAGCCAGGATTTAAACGCAAGCCTGAACAATGATTGTATCCTGAACATTCCTCTTCAAATGGCCTTATATCTGTAATACAATGGAAAAAAATGTATAGGACTTCTTAATCCTAAAAGAAAAGTATGCATCCTGTGTATCTAGGTTGCTTATTCAAGACCTTCTACGCCATAAATTTCAATCCTCAGCTGGTAAATTTCCTTGGGAAGGAGGATGACAAAACACAGTCTTTCTTACATCAGAGCAATCCTCTCCACACCAGAATCTATGGGTTAAGTAGATGAATTGTTTCCATTTGGAGTTGTCCTACTTATGTATATATTGATAACAATCAAGTTTGCATCTCCAGATTGGATGTCTCTTGAATTCCACACCCATATTCTTCACTAATTCTTTCCAGCTTTATGGTTCACAGAAATAGCAAACTCAGTATCTTCAAAAGTGAATACTTAATGCCTTCACAAATAAGCACTTCGCTGCTGTCCTTATCTTTGTTACTAACAGTAACATCCACTCATTGTCCAAATGTATATCAAATCCAGAATTCTGCAATTATCTGGGCATGGAAGAATAGAAAATTAATGCACTCCCAGAGGAGACAGATTTATAAATCAAGTAATTACAACACTTGGGTCAGATAACAAATAACAGAGGCACATGTCAAAGCCTGTATGCGCACAGAAGACTTGGAAGTGCTTTTCCCTACACAGGGAAGTGAGGGAAGGCTCCATGAGCACTGTGGAAGGAGGCATTCTAGTAGAAGTGGAAGTAAGCATTCCCAAACCAAACTAAGCCCAAAACAGGCAACTAAAAGCAAAAGAAAACAAGCAAAAAACAAGAATGACTGGAGTTCCAAAAAACACAATTTGAAAAACCACTATCATGGAGGATGGATTGGAAGGCTCTTAGAGCTGGAAGACCAATGAAGATGGTCCAGTTGAGTGATGTGGAATCAGATATAGCGATTAACCCGGAGACAGATGGATGTGAGCGTGAGTGTCTAGGATGACTCCCTGGTTTCTTTCTTGAGTAAGTGGGAGGATCATGAAACCATTAACTACAAGGAAGAGAAAAGCAAAGTTTTGTTATGGAAAGACAATGGCTTTGGTTTGAGACATTTTTTTTTAAAGATTTTTTTTATTTATTCATGAGACACAGAGAGAGAGAGAGAGAGAGAGAGGCAGAGGGAGAAGCAGGCCCCTCAAGGAGCAGAGAGCCCGATGGGGGACTCGATTCCAGGACTCTGGGATAATGACCTTAGCTGAAGGCAGACGCTTAACCATCTGAGCCACCCAGGCGCCCTGGTTTGAGACATTTTAAACTTTAAGTATTTTTTTTTTAATTTTATTTATTTATTTGACAGAGAGAGACATAGTGAGAGCAGGAACACAAGCAGGGGGAGTGGGAGAGGGAGAAGCAGGGAGCGGGCAGCCCGATGTGGGACTCAATCCCAGGACCCTGGGATCATGACCTGAGCCGAAGGCAGACGCTCAACGACTGAGCCACCCAGGTGTCCCTAAACTTTAAGTATCTGTGGGAGTTCCAGTGAGTTATGTCCTGTCTCAAAGTTGCAAAGGACATGATTGATGCTCCCCGCCCCCACCTCCCACTCTTTATTACTTAACATCCAGGTTATCCCTCCCCAAATATTGGAAGTTCATTTAGGCAGGGACCCCATTTTAAATTGCTTTTTATCTAAGTAACTCATGGTATAAATACCTTTTTTTCTTGTATGAATATTCAAAGCATCTTCTCTTTCCTCTGCTCAGCAAGGACTGCCCAGGCATTTCCCCCTTACACCTCTTTTCTCCCTCCCTTCCAGCATCCCTTCATCCCTACCCTAAACTCTAGGATTTGTCGTGAAAATGAAGCCAACCAGCCATATGCTAGTGAGGACTACTATTAAGTGAAGTAAGATGAATGTAAGAAAAAAGGACGTGAATTGTATCTCAATGAATTTGTTATAAAAAAAGAAAGGAGAAAAAGAGGAGATGAGAAAAAAGAAGAGCTCAGAGAATGAGGAGGTAGTTAAATTTATGTGGTGATAGTTGTTGAGAAATAGAAAGAAGGAAAAAGTCAAATTCACATTTTCAGGAAGCAGCATTACACTGAATACAGGACATCTGGAAGGAAGAAAAGATTGTAAAGATGGTTGCAGGGTATTAAAAATACCTCTTGAGAGTGCTAGAAAAGACTGGAAGTACTTGAACGGTTGGTGTTTGACTGTGTTTCCTGGAAGGCCCTTGGGCTGAGACTGGGACTGGCGGGGGCGGACAGGCGCGCCGGCACAGTCACTGGTCAGGCAAACGTCAGGGGAATGATGGCATTGGTGTTTGGTTTTGCTCTTAAATTTATTGAGGTATAATTGACAAATAAAATTTATATATACAAAGCGTACAATGTGATTTACTATACATAATAATTTATGAAATGATTATCAGAATCACGTTAATCAGCCAATCCATCAATTCTCATAGTTACCTTGTTTGGTTTGTGTGTATGGTAAGAACGCTTTGGGGTCTACCTACCTGCTTAGCAAATTGCAAGTATGTGAGATCTCCAAAGCTTATTCATTTCATAACTGAAGCCTTGTACATTTTGACTGGCATTTTCGTCTCCCCCCTTACCTCTCGGCCCCTGATAATCACACTTCAATCTTCATCAGGTTATCTATCTGTATCTGTAGGCCTATCTATCTCTCTCTCTATCCAATATGGACTAGCTGGCTTCCCCGAAATTGATTAGATGAAAAACCCAACCATAGCTAAATACATGAATCCCTGCAATTACTTTCTCTGGAGCAAGCTCCATAGAATTGTGTATATGGAATACATCTTTGTTGCAAGTCAATGCTTGTAATTAAGAATCCTGGGACTTTTTATTTTTGGTTTCAGCCTCATGTTTATGACCACTGTTTATTAATGTTTTCTCATATGCTTTCTACAACTGGAAATTACATAAATCTCTCATGCCTTATTATTAGTTGTTTTGAAGGATCACAGCCTCTATATGGGGTGACTTCTCAGATGCCCAAGTATAAATTTCAGGTTTGCTTATAGCCAGTATTTTACCTATGTGTATCTCAGAGTAACATCATAATTTGTTAATAGTTAGTCTATGGATTACAGGTAGTTTGGTAGTTTGATAGTGTGTATATATATATATATATATATATATATATATACATTTGTTCAACACATGTTTACCAAGGGCCCACGTTGTGGCAGGCACAAGTTGTAGCCACTGAAAGTGGAGAGGAATATAAGACCTCATGAAAATGACATTCTAATAGACAGAGATAGACCAAGAAAGCAAAATAAGTAAAATATGAGAGACAGATAGATGGTAGGATGGAGTAGTATATGGAAGACCAAAACTCCCACCAAGACCAACCAAGAAACCTGGATAAAATACAAAAATTTATCTGTTTTGAGATATCAGAAAGTTGCAGAATCAACAAGAGCAAGAGAAGCTGATCTTCCAGAGAAGGACAGCACCAGAGAAAGCCGAGTTTATCCCCTGTAAGATAACTTCACTTTTTCCCAAAGGAGCATTTGAAGCTGCTGGACATGGGCTAGCAGCTAAGAACCCAGGCTTGGCTAAAGCAGAAGGCCACTGCCTGGGAGGAGAGAAACGGGGAGCTTTTGGCAATTTCTCAGGGCTAGGGTGACAAAGACACTTGACAGATTGCACCTACCTCCGGCTCTCCCTCTGAGACATTTGCTGGGTTCTAAACCTTCATGGGGTGGGAAGCTAATAAAAGCAGAACCCTAAAAAAAAAAAAAAAAAAAAGCAAAACCATCCAATAAACAGAAAGCTATTTCCACAGTCTCATAGCTCAGGAGACAAACACCTGCTCAGGGAAGGAGTCACAGTGAACCCACCAGGCTCTTAGTTAAAATCCACAGGAAGTAATCAGAGGTTTGAAGTTTCAATTAGGGTGGACAGGGAAGGCCCCAAAGAGAAGGCAGCAAAGGATCAAAAGCTGAAGGAGGTGAGAGAGCCATCTGAGGGAGGAGTGTTGAGTGCAGAAGTGAAAGCCTGAGGAGGAGTATGCCCAGCACGTTCAAGGAACAGCCGAGGGCCCCAACCCCAGCAGAGCACGTGATCGGGGAGTAAGAGTTGGAGTCTGAGAGACACACAGTGGATTGTGTCAGAGCCCGTGGACCACTGGACAAACTCTGGATTTGATCTAAATGAGATAACAAGCCTCAAAGGGATTTTTTGTTTTTAATCTTTTAACTTTGGAATCTTTCTAGAGGAGTTTGGGTAGAGAAATGTCATGATCGGACCTATTTATTACCACGGACAGTCTGTCTGCTGGATTGAAAAGAGACTGAAGTGAGGCATATTGGAAGCAGAAAGACCAGTTAGGAGGTTTTTCAAATAACCCAGGTGGGAGACAATAGTGATCTGGACAAGAATGGACATGGTGGGAAGGGGGAGATGCTGGGTATATTTTAAAGGTAGA